TAAATTTTGGCTGACAACTATGTAACTTACTATTTGCCTTTGACAACTATGTAACTTACTTTGCTTCTAAAGTCTTTTAATTATTACTGGTTAAATGAATAACTGTTATTTCCACAATGACCTGTGATACTATTTTAATTAAATGTTTTAAACTTTTTGACTTTTTTTTTTACAACTTCCCAAAATCAAATTTTAGATTAAGTCTCTCCGACCTCAAATTCACTTTAAGGTTTCTCAGTCGGGCTAGTAGAAAACATCAAAGGATGAGTCTCTCACCTTGAAAAAGACAGACATTACTCCAATTAGGCTTATCTAATCATCTGGTATGTTGTCAGTCATAATTTGGTTATCATGTTAAATTGTTGTATGCCACAGAAACAACCAAATTTCCTTGTCAACTGAATCATTATTTTAATGAACCCTCATCAGATCTCTAATCATGGTTGCTTTAAGTCTTGTTATCCAGTTAATTGCTTTATTCTGATGCTTTTCTCAATGCTCTTTGCAAGCAACTATAATCCGAAAATGTTGTGTTTTCTCTTCTTTTCTTTCTTTCTTTTTTTTTTTTTTTTTTTGAGATGAAGTCTCACTCTGTTGCCCAGGCTGGAGTGCAGTGGTGCGATCTCGGCTCACTGCAACCTCCACCTCTTGGGTTCAAGCAATTCTCCTGCCTCAGCCTCCTGAGCAGCTGGGATTACAGGCATGTGCCACTACGCCTGGCTAATTTTTGTATTTTTAGTAGAGATGGGGTTTCACCATGTTAGTCAGGCTGGTCTTGAACACCTGACCTCGTGATCCACTTGCCTCAGCCTCCCAAAGTGCTGGGATTACAGGCATGAGCCACCATACCTGGCCCAAAATGTGTTTTCAAGGAGATTCATGGAGAGGATGGAAAGGACTTTGACAAGAAGAGGTCTCTGAAAACTTTAAGATCATACCATTGGACTGGGTAAAAATTTCCAGAACTCTAATTAAGAAATTGATAGGCTTGTGAAACTACTGACCAGGATCAAGCAGAACAAAAATTAATTACATAAGACTGAATAAAATGATAAATAGTAATTGTGGGTTTTTATGTTTTTTAATTGGACACATTGCTGGTGTTTTATTTCTGACTGAAAAAACCCTTTTTCCTTGTATTAGCTTTCAGCGATTTGGTAAAGTTATACTCTTATGAACAAAAATGCAAACATTTATGTTTAAAAGTCCAATGTGAGATTTCTTATCCAAAGTTTCAGCAAAGCAAACTTTGTGACCAATCACTAGTCTTACTGCAGTTGTGTAATTAATTAGGTCAAATTTGAAAAGACTAAGCTTATTTTGCAAAAAAATTCAGCTTGCTTTGATTATCTTTAGTAGAAATGAGGGTAACTGTAGAGAGAAAAATTATGTTTCAGAAGAAAATCTACAGTATACCTGTTATTAGATTGTAGCCCTGTTTGCTGTTTTTGAGTTTTTACTATTTGTAGACTGGACTGGATCTGGAATTCTTCTACTTTCCTATCTGGAAACATCTGGCTACAACTCCCCAAATATGAACAAGAACTGCTCTGGCCCCAAAGCCCTATAAGCTAGAGCTTGACAACTCCATGTACGTTACAAGGGACAAGCCTCATACCTGATACGTGGGCCACACAGAGTTCACCCAAATATCCGATGTTACAATCAGATGCACTCAAACTGCAAACCAGGACAAGAAGCTGACAACTTCATGCTGTGGACAGCTTTTCCCAAGACATCAGAACAAGATTCTTTATCATAATGAGACTCTTACTTCTCTTAATTATTCCTTGCTTATGCCTACCTTTTTCACTCGGCAGAATAATGCTATATTGCTGAACTGCACAATCAGTAGCTTCTACAGAGACTTGATGAAACAATGGATCTGTCATGTCAATCCTAGCCACGGGATGGTAGGTAACAGAAATGCTACCTTCTAGCTGAACAGGAAATAATGTACACAGTTGCTAATGCTTCTTGTTGCACACGGATAAACAGAGCAAACAGGCTGCTTGGCTAAAACAGGTAGATTCCCCATCTGGCTCATTATTTGATCTAAATGATTTCAGTTTGGTTCACGGGGATCCCGGCTAAGAGGCATACTTCAAACTGTTGGTATTATCATCCTCATGGTCATTAGCCACAATAGTTGTCACCCTGGTGCACTGTCTCTCTCAAAAAAGTCTTAAATCCGTACATGCAGCCATCTGCTGAACTGTAAATGTTCTCTCTCTGGCTGGAATGATGGAAATTCCAAGAAATGCATGATAATGAGGACACCTGTGAATGATGTGTTAAGACTCAAACCCCAAAATAATGACAGAGTAGTGCTGATGCCCTAAGTTTTGGTCATGCTGTCTTCTAGGTGAGAGCGTTGACCAAAAGGGAAAGATTGTTAAATTCATTTTAGAGGAAGTCATTGGTTCGAACTGAGCTCCTGCAATAAGCCCAACAGACCAAACCAAAATGGCATCACTCAAGCTGAAGTTCCATAGCACTAAGCCAAAATAAGATTTTTATTTGACCTTCCGAGAAATCAGAAGAGAGAATAGCCAAATCCCCAAACAGGCCAGTTGTAGCTCACATGATAAGAAAGTCCCCTCTGCTTTAACTTTTCTAAGGGAAGTAACTCTGAAACAACCAATCTGCTTTTTATTTTATGTTTCTGCTTCCCCTAATCCTTTTCTTTCTATGAAACCAACCTCCTCTGCTGGCCCATCAGAACACTCATTCTATTCCAGTGTTGCCCAATTCTAGAATCACAGGTAAAAGCCAATTCAGATCTTTAAATGTGTTGTAATGTGTCATTTGACAATACCTTTTCAAACCCCAGATCCCATCCATTCCCATGTCCTCTTTCTATTTTACCTTCCAAATATCCAGGGACTCTGTCCCACTGCCACCACCCTTATCCAAGCTGCCATCATCTGCTTGCAGATACAAGGCAGCCTAAGAATTCCACTCCTGCCTTTCCAAGGCGTTCTCCCACTGCAGCCAGGACAATCTCATTAATTTTTCAAAGCACAGATCTTAAATCCTCTCAATCTCTCTCTCTCTCTCTCTCTCTCTCTCTCTCTCACACACACACACACACACACCCCACACACTTAAAACACTTAATGGCTATTTAGCTTATTGAGGTTGAGTTTAAGTGCTCTTAAACTCAAGGCTTTGGCAGGCTCTTAAACTCAGGCATCTCACCCCTTCTCCCACCTCTGCCGCAGGTCTCTGCCCACTGTTTTCTCACCTAGACAGTATCCTCTCCATCCCCAAGGGCCCACCTCACATTTCACCTAGTTAACTCTGATTTATCCTTCAGATCTCAGCTCTGATCTTTCATAGCATTTACTAGTCTGTAATTATGGGGCAGGGGTTGGGGGTAGATGAATTCTGCCTTTTTCAATCAGGGTTCCTACAGAGAATGAGGCCTAATACCCTAGGGCATGCATTGGATGTACTGAATGAACTTCTCTCCCACACATCCAGAATGGCACCAGCTGTGTCCCAGTCCTGGAAGAGCTTGGCAGATAGTCACAGAGTTCTGTGTTCTGTGCTTCAGATGGGGAACCCAGTTTGAAAAGCTTTGTGCCAAATACAACTTGACACAGAGTAGGTGCTCAAAGGTTTGCTGAGTTAAATTGAAACAGAAATGTAATCTTGCAATGACCCCCAAGGCTGGCACACTCTTGCTCACTCTGCTCCAGTCACTCCAGCCTCGTGCTATTCCTTCAATACCCAGCTGGTCCCCCTGCCTGGCATGCCTCTGCCCCAGGTAACCGCTTGGCCAACTCCCTCACCTTCTCAGACTTGACACAGATCTCACCTTTCAATGAGGCCATGCTAGATACCCTATTTTAACTCTGCAACCTGATTCCTTAATCCTGGAACTCCTGATGCCCCCTAATCCTCCTTCCTACAGCACTTATTACCCTCACACATTCTTTATATGCAATTCATCAGTGGATAATGTTGATTGTTTGTCTATTTTCCCCTACTAGGAATATAGGTTTCATGAGGAGATCTGTAACCCAAGTGGCTAGAACAATGCCCGGCATGCAGCAGGTGCCTAATAAATGTTTATTAGCTAGATGCATGAACATGCTTCTTCTGAGTTACTACTCTCTCATAATTTGGAAGCACACAGAGACTGCCTGGCTCCAATTCTGTAAGACTTTAGCTCAAATGCCTGCCAATGAGAACGCCTCTCTGAGTCCTGGTTCAAAATTCCTGAGGCAGAACCAGTTGACCCAGCTCATCTTCCCAAAGTAGGCCATGTGACAGAGGTCAATGGCAGCTGCCCATGGATGAGCCATTTAGTGCAGAAGGGCCTCTCGGCATAACCGAAAAAGAGCAAAACCATCAGGAGCTATTCAGATGTGGAAGCCAAAGCTCTCCCCAGATCGCAAGCACACTGCTGTGTTACAGCAGAGGCCACACTGGGTATCAGTGGAAGCAGGGGCGAGTTGGATCAAGCTGGACGTTTAGTCCCCAATCCTGACCTTAGTGAGGGCCGCTGCTGGGACTGAGTGGTGTACTTCAATGTCTGGCTCACCTAGAAGAGGTGCATCACTCCCCCAGGAAACTTAAACGTCCGCATGCAGTCATCTGCTAAATGGGAAATGTTCTCTCTCTGGCTGGAATGACAGAAACGCCAAGAAATGCATGATAATGAGAACACCCATGAATGACGAGTTCCCATCTCGTCCTCTCCAGAAACAGATTTGTTGACAAGTGTAACTAGCAGAGACACTTAATAATAATAAAAAATAAAAAATCAATGTAACTCTGCAGGCAAGCAGGCATTCTTTAGAATTCCTCACCGTGCCCCCGTTCTCTGCTGCATATTTTATAATGACCTGAAAGGCAGAGTGACTGACACAAGCTGGGTAGTTCTGGCTCAGGAGGATGTCTCATGAAGCTGCAGTCACCCGAGACCTGACTGGGGCTGTAAGAGCTGCTTCCCTTCCTGTGGACTGCTGGCTGGAGCCAGAGATCCTCACCTGTGGCCTTGCCTCACCACAGCTGGTCTCCCCTAGAGCAGGGGATCTAAGAGAGACAGGCTGGCAGAAGCCCCAACATCTCGTATGACTTCTGCTGTATTCTACTGGTCACAGGACCAGCCCTGATACAGAGAGGGAGAGAATAACACCTGCGTGTGAATACCAGGAGGTGGAGACCTCTGGGCCATCCCTGAGAAGACATACACACCAGTTTGTTTGTGTAGACCAAGGCCTATTTTTGAAGGGCCCAGAGCTAACAAAAGGTTTTTACATCTTTTTTTTTTTTTTTTTTTTTGAGATGGAGTTTCGCTCTTGTTACCCAGGCTGGAGTGCAATGGCACGATCTCGGCACACCGCAACCTCCGCCTCCTGGGTTCAGGCAATTGTCCTGTCTCAGCCTCCCGAGTAGCTGGGATTACAGGCATGCGCCACCATGCCCAGCTAATTTTTTTGTATTTTTAGTAGAGACAGGGTTTCACCATGTTGACCAGGATGGTCTCGACCTCTTGATCTCGTGATCCACCTGCCTCGGCCTCCCAAAGTGCTGGGATTACAGGCATGAGCCACCGCGCCCAGCCGGTTTTTACATCTTAAAGCATTATAAAAAGGAAAATAAAGAAGCATATGTGAGTGGCCTCAAAGACTAAAATATTTATTATATGGTCTTTATAGAAAAAGTTTGACGACCTCCAATGTACACTGTATTTGCCGATGATTTAAGGGATCTTTCAAGGCTAATTCTGACTCTGTACAATGTTCCCTTTATGCTCTGACTTTAGAATCTATCTCCCAAATGAACAACTCTATTGAGACAGGTGCTCGGCAAACTGTAGCTCTGAATATTATAGTGGCAAATGCTAAGAAACAAACAGCTCATCGTAACCTGAACAGAAAGATAATAACCAACAGTTCCTTGTCTATAAGTAGATGACTGATAAATACAAACTCAGTGAATGACTAAATGAATAAGAAATACTACAAGGACACATCTTGAAAGTATGGAGCTATCATGACAATACAAATATCTTTAACTGGCTGGGCATGGTGGCTCATGTCTGTAATCCTAGCACTTTGGGAGGCAGAGGCAAGTGGATCACCTGAGGTCAGCAGTTCAAGACCAGCCTGGCCAATATGGTGAAACCTCATCTTTACTAAAAATACAAAAATTAGCCAGGCATAGTGGCGTGCACCTCTAATCCCAGCTACTTGGGAGGCTGAAGCAGAAGAATCACTTGAATCTGGGAGGCGGAGGTTGCAGTGAGCGGAGATTGCACCGCTTCACTCCAGCCTGGGCAACAGAGCAAGACTCTGTCTCAAACAAAACAAAACAAACAAACAAAAAAAACTTTAACCAACAATTTACAATTTAAACACAACAAAATATGAATGTGTCATAATTTACAGCAATGATAGCTGAAATTTATCAAGGGCTAACTCTATGCCAAGTATTGCCAAGTATTCTTGCATTCAGCCTCATACGCTGAGGCAGGTGGAATTAGTTGCCTTCATTTTACAGATGAGCAAATTTAGGCTGACAGAAATTAAGTAATCTCCCCAAGATTACATGATACATAGGTAGCACGACTATTTTCTCTTAGCAAACTACATAAAAAAATAAAGACCAACTCTCTGCATTCTGAATGTCACGCCTGAGATCAGCTTGCTGCAAGCGCAGCAGGGACAGCCACCCTCCGCTGGGCCAGGTTTCTCCTCCATCCCTTCTCCCTCCCTCCCACTCAGCCTGCTGGGATCCCAACCCAGGAGCTCCAAGAAGGGCATGGTTCCAGGCTCCCTATAATATAAGAAAGGTCAAAGAGACTTGAAATGAGTGATTGAAACTAATTACTCACTGATCTGCTCCCTCTATCCAAAGAGTTTTAAAACACCTTCACTGAGGTCTTTCCTGAGATTGTGGACTTAGCACAGGACCTGCCTCCTGCTTTCCTAAATGAGTAAGTGGCTGGCACCTGCTCTAGCTCTGGGAGCAGCAAGGTTTTGACACTTGAATTAGAAGAGGGCAGAGAGAAGGCTGCAGCTCTTGCAGCAAACTGCAGGGTTGTCAGGTCTACACTCAGGACACCCCGCAGCTACTGCACACAGAACTGAGCTCTCGGCCCAGGGTTTCCCAGGTGGACATAAAGAGATCTCAACTCCTGTAATCTCAGCACTTTGGGAGGCCAAGGTGGGTGGATCACGAGGTCAAGAGATCAAGACCATCCTGGTCAACAAGGTGAAACCCCGTCTCTACTAAAACTACAAAAAATTAGCTGGGCATGGTGGCTTGTTCCTGTAATCCCAGCTACTCAGGAGGCTGAGGCAGGAGAATTGCCTGAACCCAGGAGGCAGAGGTTGCGGTGAGCCGAGATCGCGCCATTGCACTCCAGCCTGGGTAACAAGAGCGAAACTGCGTCTCAAAAAAAAAAAAAAAAGATCTCAACTCTCCCTGAATGGTCTTGGAGATGGCTCAATGTGCCCACTCTTCACAGATTTGTGAACCTGGGGGTACAGGACTTGCTCAAGGCTATACAACCAGTGGCACAGTCAAAGTTCCCTGATGCTAATTCAAATGTTTTCACATTTTGGATTCTGCTCTTGGAAAGCTTGAAGTCCAGTTGGTTGAAAAGACAGTTGATTATGACAGGTTCTGGAGGGAGGAGGACCTGGGCAGAGGGAACCTGGACTGGAGGCTGAGTGTCCCTGTGTCAGGGACAGAAAGAGAGGGGCCAGGGTAAAGGAAGACAGGAAGTCAGAGGCCTGGAACAAAGTGGAGCGTGAAGGGGAACGTGTGTGACTATCTGGACAGGAGAGTCAGCTGACCAAGGACAAGGGCAAAGACTGTCAAAGGGCACCGAGGGACCAGCTGAGACCAGAGACATGAATCTGTGTCAATAAAGCCCTAATTAAACACACCACTGTGACCTCAATGGGATTCCAATAAATACAGTTGTCCAATCCCCACACAGTAAACATGCAGGCCACAACAAGATGATCACCTCCCTCAGTCCACCCTGATTATGAGATAATAATCATCCACAAAAACATTATTCCCATGCTTAACAAGCAAAGGGAGGAAGGGCCTTCTAGTCTGCCCTTGTAAACAGACACTCACAGGACGGGAGAATAGGGAAGAAAGGGGCTTTGACGTCAGAGACCAGGTTTAGGTCCTAATTCTGCCACTTACTAGCTGCATGATCTTGAGCAAGTTACTGGATGCTCAGTGACCTGGTTTTCTCATCTGTGAAATCAAAATCATACTACCTACCCCAAAGAACTCTTGTGATAATCAAAAGCAACATGCTTAGCTCACAGACAACTGTGACAGATTGTTTACAGTAAGGGCCAAACGATTCCCTGCTCCTCATACCCACAGCTTGGCAAGAGGACTTTGCTCTCTCCTGTTATGAGAGCCATAGGCGTGAGGGGGCAGGTCTCTCTCTCTCCCTTCCCCTTGAATCTGGGCTGGCCTGCGGCCTGCTTTAGCCAATGAAATGAAGTGGAGGTGACTGCTGCTTCTGACCTGGGGCCTGCATGGCTCCTGCTCCCTGGGAAGCCTGCTGGCCTCCAGGTGAACAACCCCACCAGGGGAGGGACCCTGGGCTAGCCTGCTGGAGGCACAGGGATGAGCCCTCCCAGTAGCTGATAGTAGACACTTGAGGGACCGTAGGCAAGACCAGGAGCCCAGCAGCCCAGCCTGAACTGCCAGCTGCAGAAGTGTAAACTAGGTGCCCAGTTGCTATTTAAGCTCCCTAAATACCAGGGTGATCTGCCAGCAATGACAGGAGTAATACTCAATGAACTGCAGCTGATAATCAGGACTTCTCTCTTGTCCGGCAATTCTTCTGGTCTTGAGCCATGTTTCCTTCTCTACCAGGTCATTCCCATCAGCATTCAATCCTGCCATTATTTCACCCTTTACTGAATACTTTCCCTTGACCCCAATACCCTCAACAGCTACCACCTTGTGTCTTCACTCCCACTTCCAGCAAAACTCAAAGAGTGGCCCATGCTCCCTGTGGCCAATTCTCCTCCGCTCATTGTTTTACACTTTCACACCCAACCCTCCACTGACACTTCTTGTCAAGGTCTCCTGTGACCACTATGTTACTGAATCCCAAGGTCAAGTCTTGGTCCTCATGTGACTTGACCCAGTCATCAGCACGTGTCACCGCAGCCCCTTCTGTGCCTCCTCCTCAGTAACACTTTCTGCAGTTCGCTTCTGGACAACATCTCCTGCATCCCCGCTACCTTCCCGGAAGGTGTTTCCAGGTTTCTGCTGCTGCTCCCTCATCTCCTCCACCTCCTAATGCTGGAGTGTTCTGGGGCTCTGGCCTTGGCCCCTGCTCTTCTCTGACTTATTTGCTGGTAATGTCACCCAGTCTCACAGCTTTAAACGCCATCTTTATGTCAACAACTCTCAAAAAAGCCCACACTTCTTTTCTGAACTCCAGATTTTCATATTCCAGATTTTAATGGCCTAACAGCCATCTCCTTGTAGATCTCTGACAGGCACCTCAAACTTACTCTGTACCCACACAGCCCCCAATCGTCCCCCACAACCTGTGCCACTGGAGCTCTTCTGCTTCTAAAGCCAACCTTCCAATGCTCAGGCCAAAACCACTGGGGTCGTCTTAGACTCCTCTTTCTCTCTTGCACCCCATAGTCAACCCCTCAGCAAATCCCACTGGCTCTCCCTTCCAAGTCCTTACAGTCACCTCAAGGCCTATCCTCATCTGCCAGGGGTCTCCAGTGTCCTCCGCCCTCATCACACACTCTCAGCTCAGGACTCTGCACCAGCTCTTTCTTCTCTGGAGCGCTGCTGCCCAGACATTTGCAACACAGGCTTCTGCTCCTTATTTCTGATCACCCACCCTTTGCATCACACACAGAACTAACAACCATCTTCCCAGGCCCTGGACATCCTGTCCCCTTCCCTGCCTCCTCTATATGATGCCTATCATCCAAAAGCCTACATATTTTCACATGTTTATATGTACACTAAAAACTCCAGAGGGCAGAGATGTCTTATTTTCCTTATTAAGGTAACCCCCCTGCCTAGAACAGTGGTGACATAGGACCTGTTCAATAAACATTTGTTGGATGAACAAACATTCAATCAATAAATGAACAAATATAGAAACAATGGAATTTTTTTAGTACAGTGTCCCATTTAATGGTTAAAGGAAAAATACTGAAAGCCTCTAGAGTCAATCATGAGGTTCTACAAACCTTCCACCGTCTGTTTTCTCCTTATTAAGGTGGTGAGAAGGAGGTGTCCATTTGCATAGATGGAGACCTGAATGTGTGTGTGATGGACAAGCCGCAAGATGAGCTG